GATTCCCATCTTTGGTTAGGCAATTCACACTTAAACCACCTCCTCAAAACCTGATACTGTGGCATTACTATAGCGAATGCGCTTCGACAATAACATACTTATTAAAATGTGAGTTTGCAAACTTAGGGGAAAACATAGTAAAAACCAGCAGAGTTTTCCATCTGCTTAGCTCAACCTTTAAAAGAGAGAGAGGAAAAAAGAGGCCAACTCGCTATGGTTCTATATAAAAAAAAATACGAGTTGTTAGAAAATAACACCAGGAGTGTGTGTGAGAGAGAGAGAGAGAGAGAGAGAGACATAATGAAAGAATCAGTTAGTTGACATACCAATTTTATTTGTATAGACACAGCAGATGGCACACCAGTCTCAGTCAGGGTCTTACAAGACAATTTGGGTGGTTCTTTAAGTTGTTGAGGAGCAGATTTTCTCCTGGAAGAACTCCAGGGTTGAGAGGTTTTTTGCATATCATTGGGTAGGAAAGCTGGAGGTGATGGAGAAGATCAGGATACTTCCTTCCGAGTTAGACTTATTATTTATTTACTTACATTTCACATTTCTCCCTCAAAGAAGGACTTCAGGTGGTGTACAGTAAGATATGAGAATATAAAAATATTTACAGATAGAGCTTCACCTACAACAGTTCATTTAATGACCATTGAAAGCAGAGGTGGTATTCAGCAGGTTCTGACCCATTCTGGAGAACCGGTAGCGGAAATTTTGAGTAGTTTGGAGAACTGGCAAATATCACCTCTGACTGGCCCTGCTAAGCCCATCTCTTCTCTGACTCTCATTGAGTCCCAGCTGATTGGCTGGGTCTTCTTTGGTTGCCCTGCACAGGAGAACAGAGCTGGAAAGCAGGTTAGTGGGGTGGGGAGGGAGTGGGGCTTTTGCAGTATCCTTCCCCTGCCACACCCACCAAGCCATGCCCACCAAGCCACACCCACCAAGCCACACCCACAGAACCAGTAGTAAAAATTTTTTGAATCCCACCACTGATTCAAAGTTGCCACGGCACTGAAAAGCATGGCTTATGACCGCTTTTCACAGTCACAGCCTTTCCAAGCATCCCCATGATCATGTGTTCAAAATGTTTGGAAACTGGGTTCATATTTATGACCATTGCTATGTTCCAGAATCATGTGACACCCACCTTCTGACAGGCAAAGTCAACAAAGACGCCAGAATCACTTAACAGCAAATACTAAATTATCAGTGGCAGTGATTTGCTTTACAACTGAGGCAAGAAAGGCCATAAAATGGGGCACTTAATCAGTTAACCAATGTCTCACTTAACAAAAATAAATCTGGGGTTCGATTGTGGTCATAAGTCAAGGACTACTTGAATGAAAATTAAAATGGGAAAGTTACATTTTAGAATTTATATCTATCTATCTATCTATCTATCTATCTATCTATCTATCATCTATCTATCTATCTATCATCTATCTATCTATCTATCTATCTATCTATCTATCTATCTATCTAATCTCTCTTTCTCTCTCTCTCTAATATCAAGAGACAGAGACAGATGGAGACAGAGACAGAGATATATATCTCTGTCTCTGTCTCCGTCTCTGTCTCTCTGTCTCTCTGTCTCTCTGTCTCTCTCCATCTATCTATCTATAAATAAATATTTAGCGAGAAAAGCATCATTAAGCCCCATTAAAAATTAGTTGGCAAAAGTGAAGGGAGGGCTTTCATGGCACCAACCAACAGCATGATTGCATGTTCCTTGGGGATCCTCATGTTTTAAACCTTTTGGGGAAGGCCAGGAGAGTGTGGGATGGTTTCACCTCTGCGGGGAGGGGAGAATATTCCATAAGACAAGGGCAACGGCAGAGAAGGCTCTCTTCCTAGATCCTATCAGTCAAGATAGGATGGGGGTCTGCAACATACCTTCTCTGCCTGGCCAGCTGGAACAGACTAATATCCTTGCATGAAAAAAGGACATTTTCTTCCTGGCACACATAGACAGAGTGAAGTGGCCACTTCAAACTACAAATGCCAGATGGGCCTCCTGAATATTGCTTCTCTGCTTCCGCCATTTTCCTCTGTTGGAAGAGAGCGACATATTGTGCTCTGCCTGACTGCCAAGTGCCACCTAAGTCCCCTGCTGTCGTCATGTTGACAGACAATCAGAATGCTTTGAAGCAAGTATTAGATTCTGTAATGCAACAAGGACCTACAAATTAACATATCAAAGATACGAATAGCTGTATTTGACAGGAACAAATGATTGCAAGTTATACACAAATGAAGGAAAATTAGAGCAGAGGTGAATTTGGGTATTGTGGTGGAGCAGTGGTGAGAATGCAGTACTGCAGGCTAATTCTGCTGACTGCTGACTGCCAGCAGTTTGGCAATTCAATCCTGACCAGCTCAAGGTGGACTCAGCCTTCCATCCTTTCAAGGTCAGTAAAATAAGGACCAATTGTTGGGAGCAATATGCTGACTCTGTAAGCTGCTTAGAGTGGGCTATAAAGCACTGTGAATCAGTATATAAGTCAAATGGGGCAAAACTCCAGTTGTCTTCAGAAGTTGTGGGAGCTTCATCACTGAAGGCTTTCAAGAAGAGATTGGACTGCCATTTGTCAGAAATGGTGTAGGGTCTCCCGCTTGGGCAGGGGGTTGGACTAGATGAGCTATAAGGTCCCTTCCGACTCTGATTATGTTATCTGTTACCTGTTTACAAATGTCTCATTTAACAACAGAAAATCTAGGCTCAATTGAGGTCATAAGTTGGGGTTCACCTGAACTTCTTCCTCCCCTTATTTTCCCTAAAGCAACCTTGTGAGGTGAGTTGGGCCAAGAGAGCAACCAGCCCAAAAGTTTCTCAGCCAGTTTTTGTGCCTAAACTGGGACTAGAACTCCAACTCCTAGTTTGTAGGGCAGCACCTTAATGACCGGTACTATACTAAAGTGGCTTTCAAGATGGAGCTGATGGGATCTTCAACAATAGGTGAAGTTTAAAGTAATATATAAAGCAAGGAGAAAGAATAGAAACAAGAACGGTTTGCAAGGACTTGAAGGTAGTCCAGGGACCAAGGCAGAGTGAATGCTGTTGATATCTATTAGACATTTTTTTTTTTTTGCATTTTAAGCAAGGAAAACAAAATCTAATAGAAGCTAGAATGGTTTGCAAGGGCTGGATGTGGTGTTGGTGTACATTAGACTTGCTGCATTTTCTGATTCTGTATCATTCCTTGATTCCTTCTGGCTTACTTTTCTGCATTTTGCAGAATGGTGTTGTGAGAATATGCATCAGTACTAATTGGTGGCTTCATTTAGCAAACAGAGACTGAGACTTGGCTCAGTTATGCCACACGGCAGCCAGCCTTCCATGTGACAACAGTGCAACAATAGGAAAAGATGAGGTGGCCCAAACAAAGGAAACTTTTTCTTCATACCCTAAGAGAAAGCTGCAGCAGCTGGAATGAATAGGCCTCCCAACTTCAAATTTTCATGGCAAATCTTTCTCTAAAACTAGCAGGTATTTAGCGCTCCGGGTGGTGCAGTGGTTGGAATGCAGCATTGCAGGCTGACTCTGCCCAGTGCCAGGAGTTTGATCAAGGTTGTCTCGACTTCCATCCTTCTGAGGTCTATAAAAAGAAGACCCAGATTGATGGGGGGAATATGTTGAATCTGTAAACCACTTAGAGCTGTAAAACATTATGAAGCAGTATATAAGTTAAATGCTATTGCTATTCTGCACCAGCATTTGACATTCACGGATTCTCCCCCATTCCACCCACCCATCAGTTGCTGTCAGGATTCTGGTAGTTACCCTCTTTACATCATGAGTCTCTAGCCGGACTTTTAAAGCTTAAAGATTTATTAGTAGACATGCCAGTGCTGCCTGGGTGTAGCGGACTCTTGAGACACATCATTCATTGTCACCCTTGACCCTGCTTTTCCCCCACCTCCTGGGTGTATCATAATTCACATTCTCCAATGGGACACATCCACAGCCAAGTCATCAATCATGCTCTCCAGTTAGAATTTTGCCTTGGCAGAAATTTTGGTCGCCTGGAAACTATCTATGAAAACATTTCTCGAATGCAGTTTCGGTTGCGGTTTTGCAAGCTGCTGCACTGCTCCTCCCTCCTTTTCTGTTAGCAACTCTAAAAGACCAGATAAATATGAGTTGACAGTCAGTATACTGATAGCAATGAGGACTCAGCAGACAACCAGATGTAAAACATTATTTATTACTGGTATGTTCAAAGTCATCCTTTGACACAAAGCTGGTGGGGCAGTCAGTTTTTGTGTGTGCCTGATTCCTTGAGCCATTACCGGACCAGTTGGATACCATGCCATGCAATAACAGTGACAAAAATGCACTGGCTTCTTTGCAGCTTCGAGAATGCTCTGTATTGCACAAATCCATCTCATATTCAAAAGCTAACACAGCAGGACTCTCCACATTCGTTTCATAGACATCATTAACCTTCCCTTAAACAGATGAAAAAAACCCATGAAGATCAAAATCACCTTTCAAAATCACTACAGTATTCAAAATATATTGATTGCAACTTTGCAGCAATGACAGATACAGATCACTTCCATGTCCAGTCTTTGTAAGGTAAAGGTTCTCTCATATACATGCTGGTTGTTTCCAGCTCTAGGGGGTAGTGCTCACCTCTGTTACAAAGCCGAAGAGCCAGCACTGTCCGAAGACGTCTCCATGGTCATATGGCCAACATGACTAAATGCCGAAGGTGCATGGTACACTGTTCCCTTCCCACCAAAGTGGTCCCTATTTTTCTAATTTCGTTTTTACATGCTTTCAAATTGCTGGTTGGCAGAAGCTGGGACAAGTAATGGGAGCTCACTTGGTTACGCGGAATTAGGGATTTGAACTGCCAAATTGCCGACCTTTCTGATTGACAAGCTCAGCATCTTAGCCGCTGAGCCGTGTCCCTTCAGTCTTTGTACTACTCCTTTAATTAAAGAGCTCAATAATGTCACACTATTCTGGATCTGAGCCCATTTTTTGACAATTCAGACATAGGATGTCTGGAATCAATGAATCGCATTTGTAATTCAAATTGCCTGAGTTCTGCAACGTTCAGATGAAGAGAAGCTGTTTATTGAAAACCCGTTTCATCTTTGTCCCAAGATGTTTTTTCAAAAGGCAACTGGACTTTCTTCGTTTTTCCTTGAAGATGTTTTGCTTCTCATTCAGGAAGCTTCTTCAGTTCTGAAGAATGAAGGTGAATTCAGTCAGATCTGAAGAAGCTTCTGGGATGAGAAGCGAAATGTCTTCAAGGAAAAACAAAGAAAGTCCAGTTGCCATTTGACAAAGCATCTTTGGTACAACCTAGACCTGGATGACCGAGAATCTCCAGATCCCTATTTCATCCTTGCTTCTGGACTGTGTCTTCTCTGCACAGAATTTAAGTCAACTTCCCATTCACATTTTCCCAGGGATACTACCTTTTCAATTAATGTACAGGGATACTACCTTTTCAATTAATGACCCCTCATCCTGAATTAAGATAGTTGAAGGACAGGAAATTACTGGTCTTAAATTTTGGGGGCACTCCTTTGATCAGTGGGAGGGAGAACTTATGAAACTTAGTACCATTCTGTGTTGAGGCTGGTAATAATGAAGGTGAAATAGTTCAGCTTGGAACTGTACTTGAGATTTGAGAACAGAATCCCACAATGGTCTTGAGGTACCTCTTTATTATGACCAATATAGACTTGGCTGATGGTTAAATTCCTTAAATTGCTGCAGTTACTTATGAAAAATCTTAACATCTTGGTTCTCAGACAAAGCCCCAGAAAGTCAGAGGGGGAAAGAATGCATTTGTGAATTGTATAAAGCTTAAAAACAAAACTGGAAAGCTAGTGATTGAATGAGTCACATCTTTAGAATGAAGCTTCTTGGTGACGTTTCAACAAATCTCTATGTGGCTTGTCCCAATGAGCATTTTATTCTAAGGCAGGCTATCAATATTTGTAAAATAGTGCTAGAGAAAAGATGGAAAGGGGAAAAAACAACCAAAAAAATGAGCTGCTTGATATGACAGAGGAAACAGTTTTCTGCCATCTTGGTTGCTAACTTGCTGGAGATTTTTCTATTTCTTTTTTTCATTGTCAGGCTGAATGTCTTTATCTTTTGGTGCAAACACAAATGCCTTTATTTATTCATTAAGCAAAATTATATATGTATTATACATATGAATAAAATATGCAATGTTTAGTATTAGTAAAGTATTCTTCATGTCAGGAATTGGAAACCTGTAGATCTTCTGGTATTTTTGAACTATAGTTCTAGATATCTCACAAAGACCCCTGAGCCCCTCACTCCATGAATTAAGACCTGGCTTTAGTTTACACAAATTTAAGGAAAGGAAGTAAGCTTTTTTATGGACTCCATAAATTTCAGATTCCAGCTGGGAAAAGCTTATGGGTGAATGCTTCATGCATAAAAAGATACCAAAGAAGACATTCAACTCAACACATCAAGATGAAGCTTAAAAAAATTTAAGGGCATTAAAGCTGTGTTAATCGTCATACCAACATTTGAAGAGTAGGGAAATTTGGGACAGAATGCAAATAAATATTCCCTGTGGAATACTTTGTAAAACAATGGTACTCTTTCAAGAAATTGTGTATCCTCCTCGTCCCACCCCAATGTACAAAGTGGCCAGTGGTTTAGCTCTGAGAGCTTCTGATGTGCAGTGTTATGTGGAAACAGTGACTGTAGTGCAATTTAATTTAAAAGCGTATGGTACATGGAAGAAACTTATTAGTCACCAATAGAGTTTCAAGTAGAGAAATCATACTAAGACAATCATACTCTCAAACTCCCAGTCCGTGAGCCAGATGCATCATGTGCTGGCCACGCCCACGCCATTTAGTGATGGGGGGGGAAAGTCCTTGATACGTCATGTGATGTCGCTGTGATGTTACTTTGATACCCCTGCACTAAGACAGCACACACATACAGAGCCCTCCAAGTAAACTATCAAGCCAAAAAGAGGGCTGTGAAAATATTTAGACCCCTCAGATCCCAGACATGAATATGTTTCAACTCCTTAAAATGACGCTATAGAGCACTGCACACCAGAACTACTAGACACAAGGAGTTTTTTCCTCAAATGCCATCACTGTTAAACAAATAATTCCCTCAACACTGTCAAACTATTTATTAAGTCTGCATTACTATTAATCCTCCCATCCTTCCTTTAACCCATCTCCTCCAACATGACTGTATGACTGTAACCTTGATTGTATCCTAACAATTTTTATTGACTGTTTCCTAGTATGATTTGATTGTTTATTAGTAACCTATGACTATCACTGTAGTACCTTATGATTCTTGACTCTTGATGAATGTACTTTTCTTTTATGTACACTGAAAGCATTTGCACCAAGACAAATTCTTTGTGTGTCCAATCACACTTGGCCAGTAAAGAATTCTATTCTATTCTGTTCTATTCTAATTCTATTCCATTCTCCATTCCATTCCATTCCACACTACTCCACTCCACTCTCTACTGCATATAAACTATCAACCTCAGAACTTTCATGCAATATCTGGCAAACAAGTCGGATGCTGGTGATTTCTAATTCTAAAGCATAGCCGGTTTCCCATTTCTGTTTGAGTAACAAAGAGAGCCTTGTCCCAATCAGATGATAGCACCAGAGACTTCTGGGGAAGCTGTTCCGTTTGAACACCAAGTCATGACCAACCGTCAAAGTGGTGAAGGGGACTCTGCTCTAGCTTTAGATTTCAGATGGAAGAACAGAATGATGGAACAAGAGAGACATATTTTCACATTTGATGCTTAACTCATACTTGTTTTTGGAGATGGCCAATTCCTTCTTCTGTTTAATATTCTGGACAGCCTAGTTTAGCTTTGAACATCTGTGGGGTTCCCCTCCACACCTGTGTGTGTGTGTGTGTGTGTTTAGCATCATAATCCTTCAACTGGAATTTGCAACAACTCAAGCTGGGCGCATTTCTACTATTCCAAGCAGTACTTATTTGCTGCAGAAAGATATCAAATGTTTTGCCCTAAGTGGTCCCAAACTCCCTTTGGATATACTGATAAACAGGGAAACTCTCCAAATATGCAAATAAGCCAATCGCTAACACACTTAGAGATAAGAACCCTTTTTTGCAGCTATTATCCCTGCAGGAAGTGTCATTGAAGGTAACCAGGATCCATTGGTTCTGGTTACATTTCAGGATGTGAATGCATTCCTAGGTGGTTTAACGCAGAAGAAAATACTACGTAAATCAGCTGGAACATAACACACAGATGTACACAGAGAGAGAGAGACCTACACAGCTCCACAATGTTAAGATTGGATACACATCACCTTAGTTTTCACTCAGCATTATAATCAGATAAGGAAATCTAAAATTAGGCCTGGAGTAAAAGGAAATAAATTCAATTAGCTGGAAAAAAATCCCTCCCTCCTATCCCCTCCAGGTCTAGGCTGATTCAGCAACATACTCATACGTCATTCATTCAGCAAGAAGAATGGAGAAGGATTCTAAAGCTTTCTTTAAAAAGGAAATGGCTTTTCTGGCTAGTCTGGGTTCTACACAGGTCATGTGGCCAACTTCTTCAGCTCAAACTTCAAAGGCTTAAAGGCCGGAGGTTCTTCAGGTGCAACTTTCCAAGGTTCAAAACTGAAAAAGCTAGTCTGGGCTTGAAGTTTTCTTTGGCATGTACCACTCTGAGGGAAAAGAATGTAAATAAATGCTGCTTTGTTGATGCTGGAAGGCACGAATCCCCGTTTTCTCTTTGGAATATCAGCATCACTTCTTTACAAACTTCCTAAAACCCGAACCTTCATTTGCAGTCTATGTCAAGGTCCTTGGGCCAATATTGATCATCCATGTAGCAACTGTGATTGGTATCAACCTCCGGGGTGCCGTGGGAAGGGCCCATGGGGTGACTGGGTGTCAGGAGCTCCTCCCATGGAAACTCTACCAATCTGTAAAGCTCCATAGAAGCTTGAGCATCTTCCACAGATGAATGCCCGTGCTTGCCAACCTGGGGGGAGGAAAAACAAACAAACCATGAAATGTTACGAGTAAATCCTCCATTTAGAACCATCCGTTTACCGACCATTCGAAGTGAGAATGGCACTGGAAAAAAATAAGAGCAAAATTAGTCTTAACAATTCATCTGCCTGAACACATCACTGTTGGGTGATAAGAGGTGATTTTATGTCTGTCTGCCTGTCTATCTATCTAGTTCTATCTATCTGTCTGTCTGTCTGTCTAGTTCTATCTCTCTAGCTAGATCTACCTACTTACCTACCTATCCATCGATCTCTATATATGTCATATCTCCCTCCCTCCCTCCATCTATTTATCTACACATCATGTCTGTCTATCTGTCTCTCTCTCTATCTATCTACACTCACAAATTTGCTAAACCCCTGAAAAGTGATTGGACAATCATGGCATGTAATTAGGTTGATTAGGAACCAAGAGGCACTACAGGATATTCAAGGATCTCAAGAAATATCCCTTGAACTCCACAAACGACTTCGCATCAAAATAACCCAAGACAAGGTGCACTTAACAACTTTTAGACGTAAGGCAACTGAATGATACTAGGGTTTTTTGGGGTTTTTTGGCATGAGGATTCTGCTTTTCAGTGCTCTTGAGGAAATGAAAGATGGCAAGTTACCTGAATGTCTTTGTGTAGCAGCTGATGAGTTAGGTTCTTGAGAGACATGCTTGGTTTCAGAGTTGATGCAATCTTCTTCTTCAACAGAGGACACTGGCTTGTATCACGCCTCCAGGCTCGGGAGGGAAAGTATTTTAAGGCTCGGAAATCATTGTGGAGAGCATGTCCCACGACTATTTTATCCTTCAAGATCTGTATGATCTAGAAAGACAAAAAAGGTTAACTCTCCAGTGTTCAGGAAAGGACAGTTGTAGGTCACTCAAACAAGCAGATCAAGATCTCTCTCTTCATATCTTGCATTTTTTATCAATATCTTCTATCAATATTATCTTATCATTCTCCACTACCTATCAATATCTATTTTCATATCTATCTTCTATCATTATCTGTCAATATCTATCAACAGCAATCATTATCTATCTCTATCACCTATCAATATCTATCTTCATATCTATCTTCTTTCGTTATCTATCAATACCTATCACTCTCTATCTATCCATCCATCTGTTCACTCTTTGATTTTCCCCCCCAATTAATGAAGACATTTTTATTTTCAAAAATGAGTAGACAATTTGTAGTAACACTTAAGGAAAAATTGTAAACCATGTTTTCTAATTTCCTGCAACTCAACTGCTGAGTGTCCACAAAAATGGAACCAAAAATAGAACAGGTGAGAACAAGAAATCAATAAATTGGGACCCTCAAGGTATACAGAGGTGCATAGTCTTTAAAGAGTACAGCTGTTAAAAGGTTAAAAATGAAAAACAAACTAAACAAAACTGGTCAATGAGGACTTAAAACACCCTAGCTTCTGAATTCTAACTGCTTCCCTGGAGATATATTAAAAATGGACAAAAGGAAAATGAAGTGATGGATGGATGGATGTGACGTGAAGAACAGGGGAATTGATCAAGAAGAAATGATGGTATCACCTTCACACATAATCAAGTGAAGCTGATCAGGCATCAATCAAGGATGTACTAATTTAGATACCTGTATGAACCAGAGGACTGGAATTCAGGACTTAAGGAGCTCCTTCCAATTCTACAGTGCTATGACTGTGGATAAATGTATTGTTGCTTGCCTATCATTCTGCATTTTTTTGCAGATTCCGGTTGAATTATTATCAGGCATCTCTTAACCCCTCACATTGTATGGATACTCCAAAATCAATCTCTTTTGCTTACCTCGCCCTGTGCAATCCGGAAAGGAATTGCTTTTCTCATGTGCTTCCAGGTGATGCCACTCCAACGCGTCCTATAATCTACAATTGGACATTCTGGAAGAATGTATTTGTCATAGATCACATCACCGTCATAGCTCACCACCGTACAACGTGCCAACTCGCTTGTCTTTCCACAAGGACCCGTGCCTACCATTTCGCAGTCAATGGCCACACGCTTCACAGATTTCTGAGGCAGGAAGGGACTAATCCCTTTTTCTGAGATGCTGGGGGAGGCTAGCAGGTTCTGAAGACCTTGGCAAGATGATGGCTGCCTGGCTAGGTCCTCAGAGGAGATGGAGACAGCTTCACCAAATCTGGAAGAAGTCTCCTGAGTTGTTATCACGTCTGTCTGGAGCAACTGGTGACTTCCGTTTTCCCAGGACGACGAGTCCTGCATCCCATCCATTTCAGAGACATCTGTGGTCCTAACAAGATTCTTCTCTTTTGTTCTGGCTGCCAGGTGTCCCTTCTGCTCCAGCGCTCTGCGCATCATGTAGCGCTGGTGCTTCCGGCTTTTCTTTTTGTTCTGAGTGCCAGCTTTGTCATTCCAACAAAGTGGATTGAAATTATGACTTAGATCCCTTCCAGTAGAGGGGCATTTGACAATCGGAACACTCATCTCCAGGGTACTTACCTGGTTGATCTTTATTGGGCTTATCACCCCTGGCACAAACTTGGTGCTAGAGGACATCCTACCAAAAAAAAAAAAAAAAGATGCAATCCAGTTAATGTGAATTTGAGAAAATTCACATTATTGAAAATAATTGTGAATAATTATTCTGAAAAGAAGAAAGTCAAGATTTTTTTTAAAAAGGTGGGGTTTTTTGCAAATGGGAAGATATCATTCAACTTTTCTATTAGGTATGAAGCATTGTATCAAAATTAGGAAGCTATGACTGTTCATACAAATTATTTAACTATTTCAATTAATGACCTCACTGTTAAAAGCCACAGTATCATAAGCTATTAATGCTAATTTGGATTTTTTTGCGTGGTTTATGCAGAACAAATCTACTCTGTTTAATTAGCTTCAGTAATTCACTGCAGTATAAGACTCCAGAAAATTGGTTTATTCAAATACTAGGTAGCCTTAAATAAGTAAAAATCTCCATAGTGACAAGAATAGTAACAATTTTCCAGCTTACGGAGTGACCAGAAAAGAACATAAATGCACCTCCTGAGAGAAACACTCTATAAGGCTGAAAACTCCATAGGTAAAGTCCAATTTATTGGTGCCGCCAACTGCCACCTCCTAAGGCTTATAATGCATGATAAACACTGCATTTAAAATATTAAAAAGGAAAAAAGAAGCAATTGTTAACAATCAAGACCTGCATCTCTTATGGATTCAAAACAAGTTCTATCAAAAGTTTCTTGACATTTATCACCAAGAATGTGGCGACAACATGCAAAGAAAACTACAAACCAATATAATTAGAGCCATGGTGGTGCAGTGGTTAGAATACAGTACTACAGGCTGACTCTGCTCACTGCCAGGAGTTCGATCCTGACCGGCTCAAAGTTGACTCAGCCTTCCATCCTTCTGAGGTCAGTAAAATGAGGACCCAGATTGTTGGGGGCAATATGCCGACTCTGTAAACTGCTTAGAGAGGGCTGTAAAAGCACTATGAAATGATATATAAATGTTCTTGCTAAGTGCAAAAACAACCCAAGACCCAAAACTTACATAGTATTTATGGACCTCTTTCCGTTTCAAGGGGCATTTAGCAAACAACAAAGAAACATTCCTATCTATACTATTATCTTTTTTTAAGGAACAGGAGAAATAACTTGTAGATATCTGATGCTTCAATTTAAAATGTTACAATTTTCAGTTTTAAATCATACAATTTAAGCTAAACATTATCATTTGCGTTGCCTCAGTTTACACCCAGAACTGCCGCACACTCGTGTCGTACTTTCATACGATTTAAGCCAAACGTTAATGATGGTTTGCTGAACAAACACAACTGATTAGATTTATATGTGATAAAGTTGCCCTCAAGTCAACTTTGATACCAGGTGTCTGCATTATTTTCCAATTTCTGCAAATTTTGGACTTTTCAGTCAAGTTCAGTTCAAACTTTACTGTCAATGCACAACATGTGTACAATGAAATTGAATGAGCCTCCATTGGTGCAGCCCATACAAAACACAGAATTCATCTCCATAATAAAAAAAGATCCCTAAACCCAAGTAACTAATAGATCTAGGCGCACATTTCCACATGCATATACATACATACATACATACAAACATACATACATACGTATTGCCCATTACACTGGCACTGTAAGTCTGTCATATTAAATCTGGTTATGGTGTTGTGTTTCATTTAAAAGTCTAACAGCCTGTGGATAAAAGCTACTTTTCAGCCGATTTGTCCAGCTGGCGATGCTTCTATAACTTCTGCCCTGTGATAGAATAAAGAAATGCTGTCCAGGGTGTGAATCATCCCTCAGGATTTCTCACCCTTGGCAACTTTTAAGATGTGTGGGCTTCAATTCTCAGATATTTATTTGATTTGATTTGTCAATCGCTTACAAGATAATAGGTATAAGTATAAATGTGATACAGGAAATAGGTACGAATAAATGGGGGCAATGCCAAAGGGACAGTAAGTACGACTGTGCACTTACGCACAATCTTACAGACCTCTTCGGACTAGGTGAGGTCAATAATGGGTTAAGAAATGTAGAATTATATTATTATGCACACAAGATATATGTATCCAACCAACACACTGTAAAATTGAAAGATGGCTTTATTTGTTGTCTTTGTTGTTAAAATAAACAGAACTTTTTTCAAATAATAATAATAATAATAATGGGGTTGGGAATTCTGAGAACTGAAGTCCACACATCTTAAAGGAGAAACATTCCAGGAGTGTTCAGCCTTTGGCATCCAAGTACAAGCCAGATCTCACCTTTCATCTCTTCTTTCTTTTCCCTATGACTAGGACCACCACCCACGAATAGAATAAAGTAACAGAGTTGGAAGGGACCTTGGAGGTCTTCTAGTCCAACCCCCTCTGCCTAGGCAGGAAACCCTATATCCCATTTCAGGCAAATCTCTTCTTAAAAACTTCCAGTGTTGGGAGCATTGACAACTTCTGGGGGGCAAGTCGTTCCACTGATTTACAGGGGCATTTACAGGCCACGATTGACGGGCTTTCAGAAATTAAGCCCAAGTTCAACCCAAACCACATTTGACTTACTTTAAGAAACGGAACAAAGGGGCTTTCCCAAATCCTGCTATATTTAAAGAGAGCTAATTTAAAGCCTCAGCCTTTCATGCGGAGTCTTTTCCTTTATTCCAGGGCTGCCCCTTTCCTACCCAACAGTCCCAGGACAACTTCCCCACGTTCTCCAGCCCCCCCCACCCCCACCCCCCAATTTCTGATTCTTGAAGCTTCCCCACCCACCTCCCGCAAATCAGCCCCGCACTTAGCCTTACCCAGCTGAAGCCAGCTTCGCACGTGTAATTCCCGGAAGCGAAAAAAAAAATTACTCGTATCCGGACCGATCCGTCGTGCCGGCCACGCTTCCTCCGACTTGATTGGCTGCTTTGGCAAAGAGAGGAGGAGTTTATTTGCATCCTAAATCGGCCTTCCCCCCGGATTTTTTTTTTAAACATAGGACTCTTGCTTGCGCATGCTCACACGCGACTCGCTGGTCCCTAAAGTCGGTGGGTTGAAGTGAGGTTGTGCATTTATTTCATCTCACAACTTTTCTTTTTCTTTTTTTTGTAGCTTGTCTGCAACGTCTCTCTCTCTCTTTCTCTCTCTCTCTCTCTCACACACACACACTCACACAGACACACACAACCTTGTGATGGTGGATAGAGCTGTAGGACTGTAAGAACAAAAGGATAATAATAGTAATAATAATAATAGTAATATCATCATCTGGTGATCTCGTGCAGTTAACTACATGAACTTGTGACGTGCTAACTAAAGAAACTATAAGGAAATGGGGGGGGGGATAGCAGATGTTTATTGGAGAGCATTGATGCCTCCATGTCATCATTCATGCACACACACATACATACACAAGCTCACCCTTTAATAGGATTACTGGACCAGGCGCCTAGGGGGAAAAAAGGATGTGTCTTCCCTTTTTATGTTCTCCGGCCAGTAAGCAGAGCCTCGAATAGCATCCAGCTTTTTGAGTGTCTTGGGGGGGGGTATTTTATTTTTTAATGGGCTGTTTTCACTCAACAATAATCGCTCCAATTTTTCACAGACAGCATGTCAACGCTACATAAGAGTACTAAGAAAAGAATCAAGAGGATGTGTATTGATGGGGCAAAATGTGTTTTACATTTCCCTCAGGTAATACTATTGAAGCAAAAGTAATCATATTTATTTAAATAGAAGGGTACTGAGGATCAAAGGATTTACAGTTAGTTCTCAATGTACAATTTTTCCGTTTAGCGACTGTTCAAAGTTAGAATACAGCACAGAGAAAAGTGATATATGGCTGTTTTTCACACTTCTGACCGTTGCAGCATCCCCACAGTCGCGCGATCAAAATTCGGACACTTGGCAACTGACTCACAGTTATGACCGTTGAGGTGCCCTGGGGTCACATGATCCCCTTTTGCGACAAGCAAAGTCCATGGGAATACCACATTGACTTGACAACTGTGTTACTAATTTAACAACCACAGTGATTCACTTCAGTTGTGACAAGAAAGGTCGTAAAATTGGGCAAAATTCACTTAACACATGCCTCACTTAGCAACAAAAATGTTGGGCTCAGTTGTCATAAGTTGAGGACTACCTGTATTGTGGTCTTGTAAATTGCAGCCTTGTTTTTTCCCCTCTGGCTGTCCAATTAGATTTAGATTAGTTAATTTATTTTCTGATTCCATCAATCGGCTTCAAGCTGGCTCTTTCAAATCTCAGATTCCTATAATCTAGATTCCAACACTCCCTGTAAGTTGCTAAGGAGAAATTCGAAAAGTGTGCCATTGTGGATTCTCTATTATTGCTGTAGTATGTTCTTGAAAGTAAAGATGCATTGGAAAAATATTGCGATTGAAAAAGTAGTCTTTCTGGTGCTGGAAAAAAGGGTAATTTCATGTACATGTAGGTCTAATTCAAGACTCTTCAAACGTGGCAAGTTTAAGACTTGTGGACTTCAACTCCCAGAATTCCTGAGCTAACATGACTGGAGGAGGAATTCTGGGAGTTAAAGTCCACAAGTCTTAAAGCTGGTCTAACTATATTTTCTTGCAGCTTTTTGCTGTCATTTTTGTGATAAATACCAAGAAAGGTAAATAGTGTGTCCTTCCCCTCTCCCCTTTGTTCCCTTTTTAAATTGTCTGTGTCCTCCTTGGCAGTGGTGGGATTCAATTTTTTTTACTATCGGTTATGTGGGCGTGGCTTGGTGGGCATGGCTTGGTGGCCATGGCAGGGGAAGGATACTGCAAAATCCCCCATTCCCTCCCCACCCCACTAACCTGCTTTCCAGCTCCATTCTCCTGTGCAGGGCAACCAAAGGAGACCTAGCCGATCAGCTGTGGGCGTGGCTTGGCTTGGTGGGCGTAGCAGGGGAAGGTCACTGCAAAATCCCCATTCCCTCCTCACCCCACTGACCTGCTTTCCAGCTCCATTCTCCTGTGCAGGGCAACCAAAGAAGACCCTGCCGCTTAGCTGGGACTCAGTGGGAGGCAGAGAATAGATGGGGACGGGGCCAGTCAGAGGTGGTATTTGCCAGTTCTCCGAACCACTCAAAATTTCCACTACTGGTTCTCCAGAACTGATCAGAACGTGCTGAATACCACCTCTGCCCCTCGCCTGTTCAAGGTATCTGGTCACCCTACCTTCCCAGCTCTTTTGTGTTTGGCCAAGACAACTGCCTGTGTGGACACTGCACATAACAGGCTTGTCTCTTGCGAGAGCGACTTTCATTAGCAGCTTTCCTGTGGAGTGGAAATTGGCTGCAGTTGCATGTATGAAGTCTTCCCAACTGCCTTCTCGGCTTCTCATCCCGTTCCTGAGCTTTCCGTTTGTAGGTTTCCATCCGTGTGTGGCTCATGTAAACCCTCGCCTACTTGCCAGCGTTTGAATAGCAGGCAATTTGAGAAAGGGTTTGCGGGTGCCACTGCCCTGCTGAAAAGCGGGGAGGGAGGAAAACAACAACAGAAGACAAAGCAACAAACAAAAGGAAAAGAAAGAGCTTTTGGCCTTCCTTTCAAAAGGGAAACTGATCTGATGACCAACAGAGGAGGTTGACTGGATCAACTTCCAATTTAGATAACAGGAGTCTGTCTGCTTTGTTCCCTGCCAATTTCCGCACCCCTCCCCAATCAAACTAAGCAACAACGGTCTTCAGATCCTGGCTCAGAAAATCTTGGTTGATGTCACTTCTCATTCTCTCTGGGAGAAGCAATGAGAAAGGAGACATTAGAATTTCCATGGTTAATAACAAGGCATCTTCTCCATTTCCTTTGTAGAACCATGGCAAGCTATCATGTATGTAGTTAGTCCTTGACTAATGACCACAATTGAGCCTAGAGGTTTGGTTGCGAAACACCAAGACAGTGGTAGAGTGAATTTTATGGCCTTTTTACCATCTTTCTTGCCACCATTGTTAAGTGAATCTGAATTGCAGAGGTTAGTAAACCAGTTGCAAAGTGAATCTGGGTCTCCCATTGACTTTGTTTGTCAAAAACATCGCAAAAAGGTGATCGTACGATCCCGGGACATTGCAACCGTCATAAATATGAGTTAGTGGCCAACTCTCTGAATTTTGATCATGTGACCAAGGGGAGCTTGCAACAGTCTTCAGTGGGAAGAGTGGTCATAAGTCACTTTATTCAGTGCTGTTGTACCTTTGAACCGTTACTAATTGAACTGTTGTAAGTTGAGGTGTATACCTGTAGTCTACATTCACACAACATGCTAATTGAGTCTGATAATTGAGTTATGGTGGCACAGTGATTAGAGTGCAATACTGCAGGTTCCTTCTGCTGCCTGCCGGCTGCCTGCAATTTGGCAGATCGAACCTCACTCAGCTCAAGGTTGACTCAGCCTTCCACTCTTCTGAGGTGGATAAAATGAGGACCAGATTGTTGGGGGCAAGAGGCTGACTCTGTAAACAATTTAGAGAGGACTGTAAAGCACTATAAAGCAGTATATAAGTTTAAGTGCTATTGCTATCGCTATAATTTGTAGAAATTATTTGGTGAGTGGAAATCTTGGTTTGGGATGGAGGGCTATTTTTTGTTGTTGTTGTTAATTCACAATTCCATCCACTGGAAAACAAATGGTTTAGAGGGTGCAGTCAAAGATTCAAATCAGGGTTTATTTTAGATTTATCATTGACATTAACCAATAACAGCATTCAGGGAAATTCCCCAAAAAGAACTTTTTACAGCCTTAAAGGTGGGAACACGGCTTCCAAATACGTATGATATCCTAAAACTGCAACTCATTTGTAAATGTCATATTCAATGACATTTTTATTTCTCCATTTACTGCGATTATGCAAGAAAGGTAGCACGCCTGGAATTTGTCTTTCTTCATGCCGGCCTTTTGCTATTCCTTCTCCTGGTCACGTCTCATTAATCTTGGAAGAAATCCCAGCATGGCAGCGTTTTTAACTTGCCTCTTTCCTTCTTGTCCTTCAACCCCCCTGGAAGTCCAGGGCTGAAGAGAGAGAGATGGTAATTTGCACTCTCCTCTTGTGCAAATAAGATTTCTAACAAGGACGGGCTCCTGCTGGTTTCATTGGTGATGGGCTGACAGGAAGACTGGTGGTTGCAAAGGGCTGTGAGGAGAACGGTGCCACCTGACCTTCTCCTCTCCCCTCAGATACTGCGCAGAGAGGAGTTTGCTGAAGCACTGAACAAGGAAGCAGAGCTTTGGATAAAGTTTGTGACACCTTCACGCATTGGGTTTACCTGGCATGTAGTAACAGATGGGGTGTCCTGTCCACTTCCCTATCCCCAGAAAAATTCTGGAGGTTAGTTTTAGTTTAAAACAGCCCCAAGGCTGTTAACCCTAAGTTAGAATATATCAATAGAATAGAATAGAATAGAATAGAATAGAATAGAATAGAATAGAATAGAATAGAATAGAATACCTTTATTGTCATTGCATTCTACAAATACAATGAAATTTGAAAGCTACTCCAACACAGTGCCCCAAACACTACATCACAATCACACTACAGAGATAATAATAATAATAATAATAATAATAATGATAATAATAATAATAATAATAATAATAATAATAATAACCACCTAGTCTAAAATCTATTTAAAACATATATTAAGTTAGATAGTTTAAAAATGCCACTTTATACATAGGACTCACAAATGCACTGTTTGATTCAAGACAATTATTGCCTTGAAAAAGAAACTGTTTCTTGGTCTATTAGTCCTCATTTTAAGATACCTATAACGTCTCCCTGATGGTAACAATTTGAAATATGAATGACCAGGATGAGACCGGTCTGTGGAGATTTTTTGTGCTCT